TCCCTACATTTTCTGTTTCTATACTTAAAAATCCCCTACATTTTAAGTTCTTAATTACCCACCTGTGGTCTGAAAATTGTTCCCATCTGATAAGGTTCGTCTGTGACCCAACACACTTAGCTTTGTCAAGGAATCATTTGGTACATTTTGAGATTCTTGTTTCAAACAAAGATTAAAAGGCTGATTTTTCAATCGTGTAGAAAGCATGTCAGGAGCCAGCTGTATCCTCTGTTCTTTCTTACTTTCAGAAGTCTGAGATGAAAAGTCATCAGTGGAACTGCATGGACCACAACCACCAAGCACAGTGCTTACAAATGCATCTTCGCTGTCTGATTGAAGTAGGCATTTTGTGGAAATGGAGGGCATAGAGAGAAGATTCACAGTGTTTGCAGCTGGATTTAGGGATGGAATACTTGTTTCCTCCTTCTTGGACTGCAGTCTTGTAGGGCTGGCACTCCTGCGAAACTTTGAAGCACGCTGAAATAGTCCATCACGCTTCTTCCTCTCATCTTTAGGCAAGAGTTCATCTGGACCCTGTGATTTGTTCAGCTCTCTGATATCTAAGCCCAGGGCAACAGATGCAAGGAGGACAGCACACCCATACAGCACTGAATCAGTCTTCTTCTTCTGCAGTGTCCTGCTCAGACTGTTTGTAGGTGTCATTTGAGGAGTACTATTTGTAGAACTAGCAGAAGTTCCTTCTTCAAAGCTCTCATGTTCTACAGTATTCTCTACCTGATCATCTTTCCAAAGAGGTAGATTAATATAGGCCTGATTCGGCAACTTAATTGGCTTTGGTCTTTTACTATCCAAACCTTCAGGGAGAAGTTTCTTATCAGTATAGACACCTATAAAACATTGCAGTATACTTTAAGATTGTGATTCAGCTATTTTGCTATTGCATGTCTGCATATATACACCATTACTTCCTTTCCCTTGCACAAGTATTAATCCTGAGGTATTCTGTACACCTCCTTTAGATGCAGTCAGAAGCTCAGACTCATATTGTAAGATTCAGAAACACATCCTAAGCCTAAAACTCTTCATGTTCTCTTTATAGTCTTCAAAATAGCAGAAGTACCATTCTGCTACAATTTTATCTTTTTAGCAACTCAAAAGCAAACTCTATTAGAAGCAACTTGCAAATCAATTTTCCTGAGTATAAGTTCATAGAATCATGGAAGAATCATAGAATCATTTAGGTTGGAAAAGACCTTTAAGATCATCAAGTCCAACCGTTAACCTAACCCTGCCATCCCACCACTAAACCATGTCCCTAAGCACCTCATCTGCCCGTCTTTTAAATACCTCCAGGGATGGGCACTCAACCACTTCCCTGGGCGGCCTGTTCTAGTGCTTGAAAGCGAACTGTAAACAGAAGTTTTCCACACCTGAAAGAGACTTACCTCTATTCTAAGAGAGGCATAATATATCTCCCAATCTTTACGTACTCAACACAGATACTGTCTATGGATTTTCTGTGATATTTGAGGATTTGCAACACTTTGGTAGTGCTTTTCAAATAATGCAGAAAATATTTCTGTGCATGGATTACAGTGAAGTAATTTACAAAAACTGCCAGGTAAGATCTGGAACACATTCTTTACAACACTTTCCATTAAGCTGTGTTCCAAAATCTCATGAGTTACCAGAAATTTTTCTAATTAGTTCATTACACCATGGTTGTCTGAAATAAAAACTAAATTTGACATCTCACACCTAATGACAATTAATATGGAAGGTATAATTTGACTTACAGGTGTTACTCTACTCTAAACTACTGAACATTACAGAATAAACATAGAAATATTTGAAATGCAAACATGTAAATTTGTATAATCTTCTCTGTATGTAGGTGTTCAGTAGTAGGCTAATAAATCTACAAAATTAGTATTTTTGAAGCCCTGATTTTTACCCCTACCAGTATATACAAAGACAAAAATGCCTTTTTCCTGGGGGGATGGGTGGGGAGAGCAGTGTCCAAGCAGCTTAGCATTTTCCTCTTCCAGCTGGCATAAATCTAGCTGCTGGTATGGACACCAACTTATATCACATTTTTTTTCCTGATGCTGGTAACTTAATTTTCTCAGATAAAAGAATCTGTAGTAAAGTGTGTGCAAATTTGAAAACTATTATGAATGTTGTATAGCCACAGCACATTATAGTAATGTACATAAAAAGCAACATATAGCTATTATGTTCCTCATCCCAAGCGGATTAAGCATGTTTTTCCTTGTGATTGACATGTAAATCACAAAATGTTGCCTAAACTTTAAGATTAGAAATCTACATATTTTTTTCTTGAAAATATATAGAATAAGTCTCATTTAAAAAACAGGGAAGTGATATCTGGGAATACATTGTGGCTTATAGGGTTTTAAACAACTATGCATTTTTTTAAACAACTGTGCAGTTATTAATTATCATTTAAATGAAAAGACAATTACTGAATTAGATATTTGTTTTTAAAAGAAGCTAAAAAGTGATGACTGCAGACCTCATATACAGATCAGCCACTCAAAAATGTGAAAAAAAAAAATCTCTATGTGGTACTGCTCACACACCATGTATATTTCTTAGCTGCTAATGCTGGAAATGTAAAGATGTTAACACTTGCATTTTTATAGTTTTTTTGCACAGGAAAATTATTTGTAGCATGACTAGTCTGCTAATAATCTGCATAATCCTTGAGGAATTCAAGCCGTACAATTTATAACAGTGGAGATAGACTTAATGCCATTAAACGGCAACCTTCACTTTTTCAAAAATAGCTCTTACCTTGGTCCACAAATAGTGAAGCTAAGGGAACACCCTTCTGATTTTTCATTAAAAGCGTTGACCAAGGGTTGCTGCCATCTGAAAGGGGTCTTATTCTGAAATAACAATAGTTATTTTGATATTACAGAGGATACCATGCTTATATACACTTTGACAGAAAATTACCAAAACATCTCTCTCTTAAAACTATAAACATGTAGTACCTAACTTGAAAACAGTAAAGCTTTCCAAAGATAAAAAAAATTGCATATAATAGCACAGTATTATATGATTATAAATCGATACATGCCTCACATCAAGTATTCCTTATAAAATGAAAATTTCGGGCCTAAAAAGAAAGCCAATGAAAAACAGGCCTTGATTATTGAAGAACGAAAGTTGGTGAAAACCTGGACAACAGTTTCACTGTGTCAAAGAAATGATGTGAATACTGGAAGTTTATTAAACATAGTGACTGTAAAACAAAAAAATATCATAAAGCCAGTTTCAATAGATGGAACCAACTACTGCCACAGGTAAATGGGTGGATGTCCCCACAAAGAAAAAAAAAAGGTGCTATAAATAAATATATATGCTAGAAGAGACAAGGAAAAGGTTCTCTTGCTTCAGAAAAACTGCTAATCTCCAGATTTGAGCAGTCAGAAAACATAATCTAAAAATGAAGGTGTCCAACTGATTTTCAGAACCCTATCACCCTGTTTGTCAGCGTAAATGATGTTGCTGGTGTGAATTGTGCTTCATGTATGCAAAATCAGTCAGTCTTACTTAATCATGCTGGAAGTGCCCGCTGGGGGCCATGCTTGCAGTTCCTCAAGTCAATCTGAGGAAGGGCAAGAAAGATAGACAGGCCACGAATGTCTGGTATGTATTAGTCGTTCAGCATCCCAGTATGTTCCAAGTCTCAGAAACCACCTCAGAAACACTGTAATAGATAAGAGCCCCTAAAACCTTAAGATGAGGAAGAGTTTCATCCTCAAGGCTATGTGGCGGAGTTACTCGTTATTAATGTAATTCCTAAATTAATTAAAAGGTAGGAATGAGTTTTACCTGTAACTAGAGACTGCAGAACTTCTCTTGTTCACTATCTATGTTAGTGATTCAGTGACCAAGAAAGCTTAGTATCATCAAACAAACAAAATGTAGTAGACATACTTGTCCTTACAATCTGCACGATCCTTTGTTTGAACTGAACTTGGTCCCCATGTACAACCTCTCTTTTTAAAACTTCTCTTCACATCTTCAAACTCTTCTTGGTGATAAGTTGTGCTCCTTCCCCAAGTCCTGTTGCTTTCATCTGAAGTTACTAGAGATTGGATTTAAAAACACAAACAAAAAACCCCACACATAAATAGTATTTCTAAAACCAAAATATTTTGACAGAACAGAATATTTTCTCCACTGCAAAGCCATTTTGACACAGTAACACAACAAGGAGTAGACAAAATTAGAGATTTTCTTCTTTTACAAAAACCACCATGCAAACTGCACTGATCCAAAAGGATGAGCAAGAAAGAAAAATTATTTATGAACTGGTAAGAGACCCAAATTAAAGATAAAGCAGCAAAACAATCAGATCTTCCATGCCTCCTTTAACTGAGAGCCTTGTTTTATGTAATTCAGACAAGTGAGTGAGACTGAGCACTTAAATTCCAATGAAGAAAATATATGCTGTGGAACAACTGGTATCAAATGAAACAGAATATTCCAATTGTGACAATGATTAATGTTTTCATTCTCACTACATCAAAACAGATTATACTTTTAAAGTGTCTAACCTTTGTTAAATGCTTAGTCTGTCACTGTCTCAACTGTTAAATTAAACAGAACCAGCACCTTTGAAACATAATGAAATCTTGCCTTTTTTCATAACCTCACTGGGAAGTTCATATTCACTTGTGATATCTACATCTTGCTGGTACACATATACACTGTTTCTTCGGCCATTAGTTGTGTGTCTATCTGTTTTGGGAATCACTGAGGAAAAATTAAGAGAATGTAGTAGAGATCTTAGTCAAGCTGATTTCAGAAACAGAACCGTTTCCCTCATATTTTTATCTTTGGGTCATAAAGCCCAGATCTATAAAGGCACTAAGCATCTTTTGATACAAGGTTTTTACTGTTGGGTTTAAAGGGTCCTCTCCTTCTAGGGCCAGCAAGTAGATTTTTGCGTACAACTGACTAACCGGAAAAGTAACTTGCTATCAACTTAGCACGCTTACAGATATAATGGCGAGACCTAAGAGAAAACAAACTTAGCCAGTTACAACAGCATGATAAATGAAGTGGTATTTACATGCCCATGGGTCTGCCACTCCTGCACTGCCCAGCACTCTCTGCCTGCCTTGCTGTACACCTTCTTGCCAGCACAGCTTCCCCTGTAGCACGGCACTCTACTTGGCTTCTTTATACTCCCATTTTCAACCACATTCCAGGACTTACGGAATATATTTCTTCCTTGTGTTCCTCCTCCCTTTAAAACACCTTAAAAAAATCAGCTGAATTTGATTTAATAACAAGATTTACAACTAACTAGATTTTTATTTTAATTTTAAAAACTTTTAGATTTGGAAGCTAGTCGTGCTCATGACAAAGTGAAGCAATCAAGTAACCAATTGTTAGATACGTCTGTTCAAATCACCTGTATCTGAGGAAGTCTTCTTGAAACAAAGACACTTTGAAGTCAAATCAAGATAAAATATTATTGTGGGAAAGAGAACTTATTTTGCACAGGCGCATATGGGTGTGGAAGCTGAATTGTTTCAGCTAGATACTCCTGAGAGATCTGATAAGCTTTTAGGTAAAGCCTAGGAATCCTAACTCAGAAACAGAAGAGCACTTCTTTTAAAGGAGAGTCTTTATGTTGTCCTCTATGTTCTAGTCCTACAAATACAAATGCCTGCTCAAATAAAAAAAAAAAAAAAAAAAAAAAAAAAAAAAAAAAAGAAAAAATCCCCAATGGCACTTAGCACACATGCAAGGAGTGGCACTGCTATAGCTTATGTAAGGCTATGCATTTAAAAAGAAACCAAACACCAAACCCTCAAGTTTTCAGAATCTTGCCAATACCTGACACTCACTTCATTTCCAAACATTTCCATACAGAGCAAGGAGAATCAAAAACGAGACAGTCTTGTTTATATATAATTACGACATTTTACTAAGAAAAACCTTTCTTACCTTCCTGCAGTAAAAAAGTTAACCAAAAAACCCACCACATGCTTTGAAGTTGGGAAATCATTATCAACACAAATACTATGTCAGCTAACTTCTGAAAAAGACTTTACATCATTTTCCTTCCATCTCAGATTTTCATTAAGACAGGGTTTGCCCACCTCTCTCCTTTATCCACAACATACGGATAGTAACAATCTTTGTGCACGGAACTGTATTAATTACAGTTCAAACAAATAATAAAGCTACTGCCAGAAAAGACACCACTTTTCCTTTAGACATCAGTAATGAAAAGGATTTCAGAAGGCAAAGATATTCCAAAGGAGATGAGAGATCGGGTTTCTATCCAAACTTTAAACAAAGTTTCAGGTTGGTTAAAAAAAAAAAAGTTTTAACTAGCTACAGAACAGTATGCAGAAAAAAATACCTATGCATTTTGATTTCCCCTCCTCCTTATTTACATCTGATAAAGTCAGATTCTGAAGTAATTTCCTTTAGAGGTGACTACCCTTGCAAGAGAAGGTAGTCACCACCCACAAGCAATCAGCTGGAACAGATTCCACTGATTTCATACAGAAAGAAACTTGAGGCCTTTTCATCTCACGTAGCATTCCACACTAAATACGGACAATTAGACAATCTACTTTGCACAACAGATCAGACAGTACAGATGCAAGCAGTGAATCCTGTAGGAATTGTTTTCTATCTTTACATACGTCACTCCCAAATATAAGTGCAGGAATGATCAGATACAAGTACGATCAGTTTTCTTCCATATTCATGGTACCTCCACTACATGAGCACGAACACTCCTTCCCTTCTGTCATCAGTAGACATGGAATAACATAGGCCTACAGGCATATCAAATCAAGATTTTATTTTTGTTTCTTTATCTTATTTTCAAAATAACTAAAGCAAGATTTCTTCTTTATTTTCTTCTGCTGTTGTATTTGCTTAAAGCTTGCTCCTCTTTTGACATAAGCTAGCTGGGCTGCTAGCTGATTCTTCAGCCTTTTTGTCTCACATGACTCCCTTATTGTCTGATTTTTTTTTTTTTTTTTTTATAGTCCATAACTGATTTCTTTTACCAACTCCAATACCTAATATAAACTTGTTTTCCATCTTACATGGGTTCTAAACATGATACTTTAGAACAAGTTAAGGGACCTGGAAATCAGACAGAAATCTGTCTGGAATCTGATACTACCACCAGTGTTTCAGTGAGTGTATGGAACACTCTCTGTTGACCAAATGAACAAATAGAAATGGTAAAGACTTACACTGTATAGCTCGAAGACGAGGAATTATTGTGGGGCTACTTGATGGACTAGAGCTGTTACTGTTTAAACTCCTCCTCTTATCCAGGTTGGGGGATGCCTGCACTGTTATCTTGTGCTGGAAATCTGTAAGAGAGTAAAACAAATCAGTTTTAATGTTCTAAATAGAAAAATTATCAGGAGATTATGCTGCCGTACTACTTAAAACAGCCAAAGCTATATAATGAATTAGACTTGATAGGGTATGAGATGTTTACATTAAAACCACTGACAAACTCCAACTCTTAATGTAACAATTTAGATATTGAGTCAAACAGGCAGGATTTCACACCTTCACAGACATTATATGATGGGTTCGCAACGAAAGCAGGTAGGTCCAAGTGGACCCGAACTGAGACACATGCACATCATGAACTGTTACTCAATTTTGTTTGTTGTCACAAAGGGAAAGAAAAATCTCAATATTCTATCTCAAATCAATCAATATTCATGGCAATCAGATTTGCCTTATTTTTTAACATGTAATTCATATACAACATAAAAAGTAGCCTTTAATAAAGAAGTCACATCTATCAACATGTCAGAAAAACAAGGCACCAAATTACAGAATTACAAATATTTATAGCAATGTAGCAAAAAAAAGAACAACAAATGTCGGCAAGTAGGAAAATTTTTATGAAATAAAATTTGATGATATGCCCCTCTCTAACCCCCATCATCAGTGCAAATAGATTGTATACTACTCTTACAACAGAATTGTCTCAAGGACAAGTTAATCTGGATGATTCTTGACCAGAAAGAGCTAAGTGCCATTCTGAGTAAAACTGTTTATTTTATCACTTTTTCAGGTTAAATATGAGCAGAACTGGAAAGAAAGGATCAAAGAAGCCTAGAGAAGAGAAGGCTCTGGGGACACCTTATAGCAGTCTTCCAATACATGAAGGGTACAAGAAAGCTGGAGAGGGACTTTTTACAAGGGCATGTAGTGACAGGACAAGGGGAATGGCTTTAAACTGAGAGAGGGAAGATTTAGATTAGATTCAAGGAAAAAATTCTTCACTCTGAGGGTGGTGAGGCACTGGAACAGGTTGCCCAGAGAAATTGTGGATGCACCCTCCCTGGAAGCGTTCAAGGCCAGGTTGGATGTGGCTTTGAGCAACCTGGTCTAGTGGAAGGTGTCCCTGCCCACAGCAGGGAGGTTGGAACCAGATGATCTTTAAGGTACTTTCCAACCCAAACCATTCTATGATTCTATTAAACATTTAGTTTAAGCTTGTGATCCAGCATAAACCGATCACACATGCTTGTCTGGGAAGCTGTAGTGTGATTTTTCTTTATTTACTGTTAATATTAGTTTTAAAGTATGGAAAAAAAAAAAGCTTATTTCACTAGTGCTGAAACAGTAACTTTATATATTACTGCCCTCCTTGTCTCTTTCCAACTACCAGACAGCTATGATTTGGTCAGACCTGTATTAGCGTGGCAATTAAGTTCTTACTGCATTATTAATAAACTGACAGACTTGACCTGGAAGCCACCGAAAGGAAGCCCATCAACACTCGATGCTGCTACCACTTTTGAAGGTTTTCCAAACATCGGCACAACCTTGAGTTTCTGTAGTGCCATCTCGTGGCAACATTAAAAAGGCACCACTAAACCAGTCCCCGACACTAAAAAACCCAACTCTGTAAACACACCTCCTTTGCAAAGGGGACATTTTAATGCGTTCATGGGTGGAATTAAGTGCTCTAACATTCAAATTAGACTAGATTTGTATTCTGAAATAATATCTTCTATTTCTATTACAGTGTTTTCTTGTATGAAGTAAGGCACTAAAGATTGTAACTGCTGTGTTGTATTTTACGGCTGCAAAAAGCCGGCAATTTGGACCTACCACACCCATACCTCCAGCCTTTATGAAGTGCTGTTTTTCTACTATGTATTTGCAAGTTCAGGGCGAACAGCACTAATATTTGATCATGTTAGGAAGCTCTGGGATATGGTAAAAAGGTACTTTTCTATCTGCACAAAAAGAACAATAGCAAAAATCTGAACTTCAAACCAGTCTTAAATAATTTGGCTCCCTCACTAGTAACCTTTCCCTCCAGATGCAATGGACTTCTACTGGAATTGGTTTAAAGATTCTTCCAGCTGAAATGAGGACTACTTCACAAGAATGCAATATGTGAAAGTTGTTGGAAAAGGAGGGGAAGGAAACCCGGAGGGGAAGGAAACCCGGAAAAAGAAAAAAAAAGCCATACAATTCTTAGTATATCCTTTTGCACTATTAGGGTAGAAGGACCTTGCAATGAATTAAAATAGTAGCCAATACCAAAAACATTAACCATGGAACTGAAGGCTGAATATTTAATCATAACATACATTGTGAACTTCAAAAAAATTGCAAACCTGAAGGCAAACTAATTCTGTGTCCATCTTTAAGCTTTAAACGACTTCTTTTAAATTTGCCCTTCCTCTTCTTTACATTGGGTTTCTCTTGATTTAACTGGAATATCATGATATTCAGCTCACGCTCCAATACATCAATCTCACGCTCTGCTAACTGCTGCTCACGACGCTTAAGCAGTTCTTCTTGAGATTTTTGCTGAAGAGCTGCTCTTGTCAACTCCTCTTCTCGTGATCGAAGCTCCTGAAGATAAGATTCACACAAGTGAAACTAAGTAATAATGTGAAAGTTGTATTAGAGGATATATGAAGTGCACAGTATGTTGTTTTCCTTATCTATTTTCACAATGCGCTATATATACGTAACATGCACATACAACCTTCTGACACTCCTCCATTCTGCATAAGCCAAGATTCTGTACCCGGAAACAATCAAGCATTACACAGATTTCCTTTTAACCACTGAACTTGAGTCACTTTACTTAAGGTAGGTAAGCACTGGCAATGGAGACAACACATCCAATCAAAGATTATCAGCTTACAGCTTAGCAGAAAATGTGGTTGAAGTATTTCGTATCAGAGACTCTCTCATAGCATGAGGGCTGCTCTTAGATAGCTCCTATGCACTAACATAAAGTCAATGACCTCACAAATACACAAATGAATAATGCCTTTATCCTAAATGTTCTAACCTTTCCTGTTTTTCAGCCATGTATCAAGTAGTACTTTTCTATCTAGAAAAGCAATCAGTATTATACCAAATGAGGATTAGTGTAACAGGATAAACCAAGTCATAAGACAGAAGACGGCTGTTTCTTAATTAAAATCTAGTAGGTATCTGTATAACATCAAACACCTACTAACCATTGAATTGCACCATGAAGACTCTCCAACCGTCAAATCCCATAAAATAGTTGTTTCCATTTATTCTTTTTTATTTTGGAGAAGGAAAAGCTTTAGTGAGGAAGCTAGTTAATTTTTCAAGGTAAATGAATTCCAAGGCTAAACAGCTGTAAACCTACAGTCTTAAAATTATTTTAATCTTCAGCTTCCAAAATCTGTTAAAATATAACTGAAATTTAAGCAGGCCTCTCTTCATAGTATGGGGGATATTATACATTAAACACTTTCTCAGAAGTGTTATAGTCAGTACTGCTACTGAAAGATTACAGGAAAAGGAGAAGCCATGATATGACTGATACTGTATGTTTCTCACTACATAATTTTTTCATTTTTTATGTATGTGTAAGTTCTACCTGGACAGAAACTGAAATTCAATTCAAAATAGAAAAAACAGCATTTGAAATCAAGCTATGCTAAAAGTGCTGGATGTTTAAGATTCTTATTCCTATTTAAAATTAATTCATTTTGCCACATTATAATCTTATAATTGTGATGTTGGTGAGGGGTTTTTTTGTTGGTTGGTTTGTTTTTCAGAGCAGACTGCCTACTTCTGCTTATCAGTATCTTGCAATGTTATGTGCCAGCACAATTCCTTATCGCATACAGTAAAAGCAAAACAATAAAATATCTACTCTCTTCAATTCCCACTCTGTCTTCAGTAAATTAGTTCCTGAACTATACTACTCTGGTCTTTTCCAATGAGGGGAAAAACCTCTCTCTGTTCTTGCCAAAAAGACTATGGATGTCAAAATGCAGGTTAGCACTGAGGCAGTGAGTAGCATCTGTTCCTTAGAAAGATTTTTTTCTTTACAACTATAGCATACACGCACCACTTACCCTTGTTTTCAAGTTTAATTGAAATTATTGACAAATTTCATATGGTTTGCTAATTTTTAATGAGCTTGTTTCAACACAATATTTTATTTTTTTTTAAATCCAGTCTGCTTAACATACACAGTTTCGCAAAAGGCAGTTCTGCCTCCTGGAAATTCAAAGGAGCCTGTCTACACACCAATAAGGGGTTTGGGGTTTTTTGTTTGTTTTTTAAGATATTTAATCACTTAATTTAGAGATTGCTGCAAATTCTCACCTTCCTCCTCCTCCTGCCCAGTCAAAACTGGACAACCTAAAATAAGGGTTGGAAGAAGAAGCTGCATGAATTTAAATTTAGAATAAAGGTACTTCAGAGTTTAAAGAGAAAATATGTTTATTACTGTATTAATACTGTAATACAGATGCTTTAGGAGACACTGTTGATTATCCACCTTTCGTTGTCCTCAAATCCTGGTCCCATAAAGCTCAGTAACCAGGCAAAATTTGAGCGCCCATATTGGAAAGGTAGATAGTCTAGAAAAAGTAGCGAGTGTTTCCTCACTGAGAGATTGTTTACTCTTTTCCAAATAAACTAATTAAAAACAGACTTACTGCAATTAGTTATGCAATGTTTTTACACCACTCTACAATTAAAACACCCATTGCAAGGAAGCTAGGAAAGAATTCTATATTTAAGTTGCTCAAGAACATTTGTCAAAGGAAGATTGTGATCTTCTCTTGGAGTGGGCGTCACCATCATTCATATACAGCAAGCCCTTGAGGAAATTCCTCCAGCTACAGAAGTTCTTCTTCTACAGGGCATGAGACTCCATGCAGGGGTTTTTTGTTTGTTTTATTATTATTATATAAATACTTCATAGACATTACTTTTTCCCTAGTACCTGTAAGTAAAATTGATAATGTGCCAAATCAAATAAGCCTGCACATATGAAAACTTTGTCTAAGCCAAATTTACATGCTTTCATTCCTAAACAGCTTTACCTAATCAGGGCAGATGCCTTTGGAGATGAATTTACTTTGGCATAAGAGAAGTAAATTTCATTTTATCTTTCCCCCCCCCAATTAAGCTTAACTCACTTTTACACCAAAAATATGACTCTTCTCCCAAAGCTTTGTGCCGACTTATTTAATCCTAAACTTGATTTAGTCAGCTTTTTCTTCAACAGGAAATCTCATACCAGAGTAATGCCTCCAGAAAATAAAAAAAAAATAAACAAAAACCTGAATGGGAATGCCTGTTACAATTGCTCCCACAGTAAAAAGGGGGAAATGGCTCATTGAGCAGTTGATAGTGTGTCAGAAAAGACAGTTATGCCCTACAGCAGGTTGTGGCAAGTAAACACAGTGGCTGGTGACCCCATGGCAAGTAAAAAGGAAAGTCTCTACAGAAGAACTATAACCCACCTGGAAAGGAAGAGATCTGACAGCTAAAGAGGCACACAGCCCAGCTCTAGCAACCTGTATGCCCACTGCAGGCAGGGCAGAGACTACACAGACATTTACCCAGTTCTGTGAACCAAAATGGAAGAGGAAAAAGCAGAGGGTGGAAGAAAAGGCAGATAGGATGTAAATAAGATTATTATTGATGATGCTGCAGTCTTGATGATCAATAATTTTTTATAGCACATATGCTGATATTACAGTACATCTGTAATGTCACACCGATCACCAGCTAATAGTCCACAAACAGCCATGTGTGACACTTGATGAGAAGTTGTGATGGACAAAGATAACTGACAGTGACTTGTAAAATGAGAGTTTAGTTTTTGCTTTTGTCAAAGTTAAGTGACTACATCTTTTATAAAGATTTTTTCAAAAATCACTGCATCTCAATTATCCTCTTCCTCATCTATTACCACTTCATGAAAAATAACAACAAATATATACTAGGCAATAATTACAGTGCAAGAAAGACCTGCAAAGAAGGAATCTGTTTCTGCTAGAAGCATTTCTAACAGGGACTCAAAAGGACACCTGGCCTATTCAGACTGTTACCTCTATCAAGTTGCCTAAAGGAAAATATAAACCTCAGGGTGATTAAAAACTAGTTGAAGTAACTAAAAGAGAGGGCAAAAAGAAATTCTGCTCATTTAGCCGAAACATATAATGATAGAAGAATAAGGAAAGAAGATCAGTGACAGGAATCTGACAAAAGAAATTGGATTTGCTTACTCAAAAGTACAAGTTTGACCTAATCGATCTTATTAATATCTGGCAAGAAGAATTCCAAAACTGCAATGTTGAAAGAGATCTGTATTATCAGTCTGTTCAGGAAGAAGAGAGAGAAAAGCACTATCCATTTTTGGAAAAGAAGCCATGTGATACAGTCATGTAACAGGATGAAAAGCTTTTCATTTGCACAACTGAGGAGAATGTTCAGCAGCAGCTGAAAATTTGCAGTGGTTATAAAGATTAGCTAAGGGGTAAACAAACTCTGGTTCATTTGTTAAGTGATGCATTCAAATACCAAAGAAAAAAATAACATGTTTTTAAAAGTGTCATGTGCCACATTTACAGATCTACAGCTTCTTTTCTTTGGGGAGACAGGTATGGATATATTTCTTTTTCAATTGCCTGTACTTCTTGAATGAGCCATTCATATAACAACTCTCACTTACTACAATAACATTACGTTCCTGTCAAACTTAACATTTTACTTCAACTGAAATACCTCTAGCCATAGTTTCAGCATACAGAACTGTTTATTGTTTTTGTTAAGAAAGGTGAAAAGCAATGTTGTCTGAAATTTGAGAAAACCAGTATTCAAACCTTTTTTCTGAAGTAAGTTTGCTGCAAGGCAGTTACAGGTTTATCTTAAAATACTGTTCAGAAACATATGAATGAAATTTAAGAATATACATCCACCAACAAGAATAGGCAACTTAAATTACTAATGTTTTAATGAGAGTAAATCCTCTCTTCCGAGTAGTTTATCCTCTCAAATGTATCTCCATTACTAAATCAGGTTTCTTGTATTCTATTGGTAAGCCGCAATTCAAAAGTTCAAAATTACTGTATCACATAAACACACATACCCGCATACCCTTCCTTCACCGCCATGCAATTGGAAAAATCAACTTACTTTTTCCTTGGTCCTCAATTCATTGAATATCTGCTGAATTTCCAGCTTCCAGTCATCTTGCATGGAATGGAAAGACTCTTGAGGCATTTCAGTCATAACTGCCCCTTCAATGGCAGTAAGCTGTTCAAGAATTAAGGCAAACGATGGTCGGATATGAGGGTCCTGCTCCCAGCATTCTAGAATTTATCGAAATCCCATCAGTTTTTAATAGTACATAGAACTTTTTGAAGAACTACATGAATTTCAAGTTACTTGCTATTGTACTTCAAGTACTAATGTGTTCCCTTTATCTGCAAGGCTTCTGTAGCTCATTTTCCATTTACAGAAGTGACACCTACCTGCCTGTATTCAGAAGGCTGGTTTTGTATTAAGAGTCAATTTTTTTTCATCTCTATCTTAGGATCTGAAATAGCAACACTAGCAGTATTGCACAAAAGGGATACATATAAAATAGGTAAATAAATTCATTAAACACAAGGAAATAGCTATCAGCAAGAATGTTTATTTCTCTCCAAGTACTTCCAAAATGTTTTTGACTCTCAGAAAGAAACAATGAGGAAAAAATGGCATTTGCAGTTCTTCCCCTTGGGATTTTAATCTTGATCTTGTATTAAACTGTAGTATATCCTGTAGTTTATGAAAATTAATGCAATTCGAGTGTAAAAGGAAATCAGTAAAACCAGAGCAAAAAACATGCTCTGTAACTACTGAAGAACTTATGCAGTGCACGGTAAGACTGTATGACTTCCTCAGAAACACATTCAACTGCCTGTAACACCAAATTGCTTGTAAAGAAGAACAAAATACTTTGTACACAGCACATTAACCAATAAGGTGTTTATTTTGCAACCCCATGACTATTACAGGCAAGGATACATACACTCAAAACATAACTATTTAAATACATACGAAAAAACAACATAGATACCTTTCATTAATTTTGCAAATGGTTCAGGGCAGGTGGATGGAATAGGCAAAGTAAGCTTATTGACAGCAACTCCGTAAGCCACAGCAAGGCCATCAATGCCACGGTAAGGAACTTCTCCTGTAAGCAGTTCCCACAGCAACACTCCGTAACTACAAAAGGTAAGTTTTTAGCAGTTATTATCTGAATACTGACACATTGTTTACTCAAGAACAAACAAATACCTGTCCAAGCATGCACTGAAATTCACGAGGTTTTCCCATGTCAAAGGTGAATGTCTTTAAGAGTCAGCTCTACTTGAGTCATCTTGCACCTTTCCACTAAAGGCGATTAACCAAACTGGATGCCACTCAGACTGGCTCATGCTCCTATTCAAAATACAGCCTGAAGTCACTTTTATAGAAATGCTAATATCATGTACATCTCACTTACAATCGGAAGTCTGAACAACAGGAAAACAAGCAACCTTCTCCCCACCAAAAACCAAGCAACCAAAACAAACAAAATAAAACCTCAAAAGAGCATTCAGGTCATTCCCCTTTCCAAACATTTCACAACAATTTACCTAGATGTACAAGCTAATTTTTAAAAAAAATAATAGTAATAAAAAACCACCATAAAAGCCCCAGTTTTGTTAGGAAGCTTGCATTTCTAATCTCTTGTGTGTTATATAAAAGCCTGTTAACTTTTTATTTCCCACAGAGGATGCAACAGGATTGAGAAATAATTACACACACACAATGAATTTCTCCATACTGGGGGTGGGGGGGACCAAACAAAACAACATTGTCTCCAGCGAACAGTGGTGGCATGAAGAGATCTTTTCTCAGTGTCAGGTACAGAAATAAAGAATGCAAAAGGAATTTCTATTGCAGCGACATTAACTGTAAGAATTTCTGCTATGCTCTCCACTCTAGAAGAGCTGGGTGTTGCTTTTACTTTCTTTGGGTCTGTGTGGCTTGCTTAAATGATCCAAAGGGCTTGCTGCTGTTGCTCTAGAGCTCCTATTCCACCACCACTGAAATGGATAGCTTTCACAGTCATTTTTGTGGAAGGAGGAATTGCTCCTTTTAGAACGTAAGCCTGAAGTGGACTTTATGACTGGGTTCATTTTGGTTCGGGCTCCCCCCCGCCCCCACTTCTCTTCCTGCCAGGGAACCACTATCTGTAGAACAAGGATACAAAGGACAACCTATTGCTACTTTTGAATAGTAAAGTGAGCAGGCAAAAGGAAAAAACAGAATACAAAGTATTGCTCTTGCCCCTTCTCTCCAGGTGCGTGAAGAAACTACCTGCAAGTTTTGCAGGACTGGACTGAACTGAACTCTCCTGCATGAGGGGAAATGCATACAGCAGCACGGGGGAGGTAAGGGCTACACACCCCTTCCCTTACTGTATACCCCTTAGTACTAGAAACACCACCTCAACCACAGCAGATGTGACGGGGAGAAGAACACATACTAGTTAAGTTTTTTTATCACTCTCTCCTTAATGAGAAAGTCATTCAGCATTATACAAGGCCTTACAACATCACTTTAACAAAACGGCAAACTACGCAATATCAGCATGAGTATCAGCAGTGTTTTGTTTATCTATGTTCCATTTACCTAAGAAGTTTTGCCTGTCATAAAAAACCAAATGAGTTTATAGAGTTAAGAAGTTAATCAAAAGCTGAGGAATATGGTCTATTCCTAAAAAACAGAAAACAGGATAAAAAAATAAAAGTCTTGGGCTTCTTAATAATTTCCTCCCAATTTTTTCCAGTCTAACCTCTGCACTTGCTTGTATACTCAATAAGGATAAAATAGCAAACTCCAGTTGTGTTTTAAATAAGTGGTACTTCTGACAACTGTAAGTACAACACTTCCTGCAGTACATACATATTTTATGTGTAATGGAGGAATTCTACTGAACTAAATCTCATCTATATGCTTAGAGAAAATGTAAAAATAACATCAAGCTCTTTCAGCAAGCACAGACTGTTCTTAATTAAAGGAATTCCCTTGTTCTACACATATTTTAGCATGAACTCTAAAATTAAGCAAAACAATAAATTTAACTAAGAAGAAATCATCTTTTCTAAAAAGTTGTGTTACACTATTAGCTTCAGCTATATTTACACGTCAAGCCTTTAAACCTAAATAGTTTTCAACAGTGCCAAGGTGGTTGTAAAATTTTAAACAGCCCAACACAGTAATAGCCTGAAAGTGTCTCTTTTAATGAAAGCAGTCTTAATATCTAGTACCAAGAGCTAGTGCTTTGGGGGAAAAACCCTAAAGACATTCTAGTCCTGCCATGCTGGAGTTTTTGGGAGTGCTAATCTATCATTATCTAGGACAACATCTACTTATTAACTCTCTCAGCTACTGAAGTAGCTACTGTGTACATTAAATTTCATCAGCCCACATACAGTTGTCCTACGTATGCAGTCAGAGCTTCTAAGAAATAGCTTTTTTTTTTAAAGAGCAAAAGCCATCTCCTTTTCCATCTTCAGCAAAAGGCCAAAAATACAGGCATAACATGCTTGAATTATATATTTTTAAACAAGGAAAACTAATACACTTTCAAAAAGATGTCCTTTTAAGTAATTTAATTTATAAAAATTGTTCTCCTGATGTCAAATGTGTTTAAGCCTTACTATATCTCATCCCAGCATTAACCTGTAGTTTTTACATATTTTAAAAGCTGATCAAAACGAAGGTAATGAAAGTTCTCAAAGTTTATTTTACCCCACAATCCACCTTCTAAAGCAGAGGTTACTAAGCACTGCTACACGAATCACTTCAAAATTATATGAATGTGCCAGGCAAAAGCAGCTGCTAATTCTGCTGTACAGTAAGTGCTTCCTAGCTTTGTCAAGAGCTTGTACAACAGAGGCACGTGTTACTGTAAAGACCACTGCTGAAGCACACCACCAGCACTTGGAAATCTGTGGGCATATTTGCACTTTCAGGCTCCATATCCAAAACCAAGACTGACATACCACTAAGAAATGCATGATGAT